ATAAAAATAGATTAGTGCCTGTCAGTAAGTGTGTGTGTCAGGCAGTATGTCTGTCAGTGTGTGTCAAATCAGTGAGAGTGTGTGTGTCAACGAGTGTCAGTTAGTGTGTGTCAGATCAGTGAGCGTTTCTGTCAGTGTGTGTCAAATCCAAATGTCTGTCAGTGAGTGTATATGTCAGTGAGTGTGTCTGTCACTGTGTGTCAAATCAGTAAGAGTGTATCTGTCAGTGAGTGTGTGTCAGTTTCCTCTGTGTGCAAAAGTGTGTGTGTTAGTGTCCTCTGTGTGTAAATGTTTTTTTGTATCAGTGTTCTCTGTGTGTAAATACGTGTGTGTCAATTATTATTATATAATTAATATAGCGCCAGCAAATTCCATAGCCCTGTACAATGGGTGGGCTAACAGATACGTAATTGTAACCAGACAAATGGACGCACAGGAACAGAGGGGTTGGGGGCCCCGCTCAATGAGCTTACATGCTGGAGGGAGTTGGGTATACACCCTGTTCCAAATTATTATGCAAATTCTATTTAAGTGTCATAAAGATTAAATATTTAGGGAGGATAGGTGGGTTGGAGCAGCATTATGTAGGGACTTGTAAGCAAGCACCAGAATCTTAAATTAAGCCCTATATCTAACTGGAAGCCAGTGTAGGTACTGAAGAAGGGAGGAGGATTGGGAGGTGCGGGCGGACAAGAAAATGAGCCTCACCGCCGCATTAATTATAGATTGCAACTGTGCAATCTGGGAACACGTAAGACCATTGAGAAGGGGATTGCAGTAGTCAAGGCGAGAAAGAACAACATCATGGACCAGCACCTTAGCTCCGTCTGGTGTTAAATAAGGGCGGATGCGAGCTATGTTTTTGAGATGGAAGCGGCAGGATTTGACGATCGACTGGACATGAGGGGTGAAGGAGAGGTCGGAGTCAAAGAGAACACCTAGGCAGCGAGCCTGAGAGGTAGAGGTGATGGTGGCGCCATTGACTTGGAGGGAGACAGACACGGGAGTAGCAACACTTGAGGGTGGAAAGACCAGAAGTTCTGTTTTGCACAGGTTGAGTTTAACCCCTTAAGGACACATGACATGTGTAACATGTCATGATTCCCTTTAATTCTAGACGTTTGGTCCTTAAGGGGTTAAGGAAGTGAACAGCCATCCAGTTGGAAATCGCGGAGAGGCAGAGGCAGTCAGAGAATATCATAAACACTACGGTATGAGGACAGCAGGAAGATGACATAAGAACAGGGGAAATGTTTAAAAATAAATACTTTGATAAATAATAAATTAAAAGTTTACTTGATTATAAATTGATTATATTACTAATTTCATTCAAGATTTTATTTGGTCCAATTTAAGTATCCATCACCCTAACAATCCACATCTGCAACAGAAACTTAATCGCAACATGCATGTTCATAAGTAGCTCTTACTATATTTTGTAGAGGACTCTGTATACAAGTACTATAAACGTACTGTTCAATAAATAAATACGAATACATATAACTGTTTTCATAGTTGGCCATAGTACCTCTGTGAACCAATAACCTACACTGATCAGTCACAAAATTAAAACCAACCACCTGTCTAATATTGTGTAGGTCCCCCTTGTGCTACCAAAACAGCTCTGATATGGCGAGGAATGGACTCCACAAGATCGCTGAAGACATTAGCATCAGATTCATTAAGTCCTGCAAGTTGTGAGGTGGGGCCTCCATGGATCGGATTTATTGTTCCAGCACATCCCACAGATGCTCAATCGGATTGAGATCTGGGGAATCTGGAGGTCAAGGCATCACCTTGAACTCTTTGTCTCGTTCCTAAGGCCATTCCTGAATAATGTTTGCAGTGTCAGGGTGTATTATCCTGTTGAAGGGGTCCACTGCAATCAGGGAACACCATTACCATAAAGCAGGGGTCCTCAAACTCCGGCCCCCCCAGATGTTGCTGAACTACAACTCCCATGATTCTCTGGCTATCTATGTAATTCAAAGAATCATGGGAGTTGTAGGTCAGCAACATCTGGGGGGCCGGAGTTTGAGGACCCCTGCCATAAAGAGTTGCATAGTGCCTTTCTCCTTTGGCTATATACATATATATATATTTATATATATATATTCATACACACATTCACACATGCAACGTTAAGTCTGTGCCGAAAATGTCCTTCAATCACATGTGTTCTCAATCTGGAGATTTGTCCAATCAAAGGATATAGATTGTAAGCTCGTTTGAGCAGGGTCATCTTCAGTCTATTGTTCCTGGGTGTTTTCTTGTAATTCTCCTATTTATAGTTAAATCCCCCTCTTATAATAATGTAAAGTGCTACGGATTCTGTTGGCGCTATATAAATGGCAATAATAAATAAATAAATAGGTGGTACATGTTAAAGTGACATTCACATGCTTGGCAGGACCCAAGGTTTCTAAGAAGAACACTGCCCAGAGTATAACACTGCCTCCGCCTGCCTGCCCTCTTCCTATAGTGCATCCTGCTGCCATTTCTTAATCAGGTAAATGACGCACACATACCCAACTATCCACCTGATCTAAATGAAAATGTGATTCATCAGACCATGCAACCTGCTTCCATTGCTTCATGGTCCAGTTCTGATTCTAATGTCCCCATTGAGGGCACGTTCGATGGTGGACAGGGATCATCACGGGCACCATGACAAGTCTGCGACTACGCACCCCCGTAAGCAGCAAACTGCAATGCACTGTGTGTTTTGACAGCTTTCTCTTATGGCCATCATTACATTTTTAAGTAATTTGAGCTACAGTAGCTCTTTTGTATGATTGGACCAGACAGTTTACCCTTTGCACATATGCATCAATGAGGCTTGGGCACTTTCATGCCAGTTCACCACTTGTCCTTCCTTGCACCACTTTTAGAAGGCACTAACCCCTGCATACTGGGAACACGCCACAAGACTTGCCACTTCTACCCAGTCGTCTAGCCATCACTATTTGATCGTTGTCAAAGTCACTTATATTTTTGCTTGTCCATTTTAACTGCTTCTAACATTCAAGAAATGACTGCTCACTTGCTGCCTAATTTATTCCATCCCTTGACAGGTGTCATTGTAACAATATAATCAATGCTGTTTATTTTCAAATTGAATTCATGTATACATTCAATGGACCCTTCAGATCTTTTCAGCGTTAATTAATTGTTCATCAATACAATTCTTTTAGCATGCATATTTGCAATAGAGAATTCGAATTTGACTCTCAGACATTAGGTTAGAGATGGGGTTATAGAACAGAACCCTTTAAATGTATTGGGTGTATAAGGGTATAAACATACATATACACATGCATATATATATAGCTACCAAAAAGATTGTGGTGAGGCCAAACACAGTTCCAATAGAAAAATGAACCTAGATATCTCAAGTTGGAGTTTGAGAAGTCCCTCATTGCCCATGGTTAAAAAAGCTGTGTTTAAAGCAATTTCTATTACTAGAGGTACCTGCAGAAATGAGATCTGAAACACAATGCCTGTGTGTGTTCATTTGCATATCAAACTGGGAACTATGGGATAGTTATAGGAACATGACTTCTCGAGTTTCTGTGTACCAGGAGGACTCTTAAAGTCCAACTTGATATATGTTGGTGATGTATTATAGCAATGTATCTAAAAATTGGCCAGACTGATATGCACTGAAGTGGTGTCAGTGATAAATTCTTCTGTACGTGACCCTGTATGTGTCCTTATGCTCTTGCAGTTAAATTTTAACTAGACACACAAACAGTAACCAGTGTCAGTGTCCAGAGATACCAAGAAATACACTGTTCATCTAGAGAACAACCATGCCATATCTGTCTTTTCTCCCTTTTTACCCACTCTTGCTCCATGCATGAGTTCATCTCCGTCAATTATTTATTTATCTTGAATTAGCATAGTCTCCTCTCTGTCTCATCCCCCCTTTGCTTATCATTTTACATTATTTATCATACTCCAGATCACTGGAAAATTCCCCAATACCCTCTCTAGTGTCTGCTCTCTACATTATATTCTCACAAGCTCCTGTGCTGTCTACACTTGTTATTCTCCCCAGAAAATCTACTTTTTCCACCTGTTTTATCCCAACGCCCCATCCTATAGGGAGTATTTACCTGCCTTTCTCCTAAGACACATTTCTAGTTTACATCTTAATCTTCTGACCTTCTCCTGTCTCCACCAAAAATTCTAACTAGCACACTCACTAGCTTATATCTGGTTTTATCACTAACCCCTTTCAGCCTCCATCTGTCTTTCTCTCCAGGCCCTTCTACAAATTCCAGGTCTCACTTTCGTTTCCAATTGTAATTTTCTCAATACACTTCCCACCACATTTTTCCCCCAGTATGCCGTAAAGTCTTCACATGCCATATTTCTAACAACCAATAACATCTTCACCTGTTTTTCTTCCCTGGACCTCCTCACCTCAAGTCAACAGCTATTGTATTAAAGAACATCCTCCATTTTACCTACACCCTAATCATGTAACTACCGTATTCTCCAATCATTCTCCCTAGATCCTCATAAGGTTTCCACCTCTATTTTTTTATTTGGTCATGTCACAGCTTTGTATTAGTGCACAGAACTAGGACCAAGCCTAACCTGACACAGTGCTAATTGAGCATATATGTAATCAATACAAATAAGAACCTGAAAAAAAAACACTTCTAGGTTCCTCTTTTTTGTGAAATGCAAAAATGATGGTCCGTCTAATTTGATTACCATTATATTGTTTTACAAATTATATGAAATCAGTTTTCAGTAGTTATAAAAGATGGAAAATAACTTATTTTCATTTATATTATTTACAGAGATATAACTCGCTCTATAAAGCGATTAAACATGTAAAAACATGAATATTTAATGAACACTCCAAACAACAACAGCAATTTAGCTTGTTGAAATGCTTTACGTATGACTAGTGTATCCCTTCTTTTAAAAAAGTGAAGATTTCAATAGAAAATTGCTTTTTTATAAATGAGCCTTGTTACACCTCTATGCCTGTCAATCAGGCATCTGGTTCTGTTTCTTCCTGGTTGTTTAGCTTAGTGGAGCTAAACACAAAAGGCAGCAATTGCCCAGAGCCCCTGTCTTGCAAAGACTCAAGTGCCGCTCAACCAGCGCTGTGGTCCAAGACATGGGGAGTCCACCAGGAACTATCCCAGGCCCTGGATATATCTCCAATGAATATATATATGCATTTTCATGTATGTTTTAATTGGAGGTATAACTTGAAATTGCTTGCAAAAGCTGCAGCTTTTATGGACTGCAGCCTTTGCAAGCCCCCTCTCCCCCCTTTTCCCTACAAGAGACTTTCAGTCTCTTCATATGGAAATGATAAAATATGAAGTATAAGTGCTCACTATATCTCAAAAGATGGGTAAAGGCAGCAGATAATCACACAAGATTTCCCCAACCTTGTGAAAGTTAGAATACAACAGAAAGGAAAGAGATAATCCACGCCTGTGGTTACAAATAGATATGAGTATATACATACGTGGATACAACAGTATCTTGTTGCTAGATGAATCTCAGAAACAAAAACAAATATAACACATAATCCAAGTGTAGTAATTATACAAAAACATAAGGGGGTATATTGAAATGAAAGCACACTCACATATGGAAAGATCTTATCAGATGCTTTTCATTTATATACATTTTAAATTCCCAACAATGACAGTATTTACAAATGTCTTCATCTTATAATAACATCTACCTATTTTGGGGGGCAATAGGTAATGCAATGAGCGAGCTGTTTTCACATATTAATATATACATTAGTGCAAGGTCAATTTGTATTAAAAGTGAATAAAATAATATTCACTATCCACATAGTGTTTAATAATGGAAGACACGTAGAAATTATATCTGTCATTGAACATCTGTGCCAAGTTGGCAGAATTGTGCGTGACCTGTTTTGAGAGTGGATGACCCTATGTCACTGGATAGATGGACTCGAGTGGACAAAGTCCATTGCTTGTCTTGATAGGGGGTGCTTGTTTTGTAGAGCCTTGACCAATGCATCAATTTATTAATAGCCTGGTATTAGAAAAATGCCAAAATAGAACAATATTCATCTTTCTGTTATCTTCTTTTTAGTATCAAATCTAGTAAGTGACTATCGCTCATTTATTCACTTCAGCCTTCTTTGTCATGATTTAACCCGAATGTAATCCTATACACCATCAAAAAAAAAAATGTTTCTTATGAACAAATACTGATGATTTTGATGTACTGAACATTTGGGTAAATATTTGTCTTGCTAAAACTGGCAAATATTTGTTGCTCAAGATAAACAAAGAGCCAAATGTCTGTAGCTTGTAAAATGGCCTTTGTTATTTGCATCCTGTAAAATGCACGTGTCAAGGGTGTCTACGTGTGATTCTCAGCTTTTGGCGAACTACAACTTCCATGATGCTTTGCTAGTTACAGATTTTGTTTTTTTGTTTTCATCTATATGACCTCTCCAACGCATGCATACACCGCAAACATAAACATATCTAGAAATTTAAAGGGACACTATAGTCACCAGAACAACTACAGCTTATTGCATTTGTTCTGGTGAGTAGAATCCTTCCCTTCTAGTTTTAGCTGTGAGCATTGTCTTTTCAGAGAAAATGCAGTGTTTACATTACAGCCTAGGGATACCTCCACTGGCCACTCCTCAGATGGCTACTAGAGGTGCTTCCTGGTGCAGTACTGCACAGTGTGACTGACATTCAGTGTCTCCACCTTCTGCCTCCAGACACTGAACATTCACTTTCACTGAACTCATAGAGATGCTCTGATTCAATGTATCTCTATGAATAGATGCTGATTGGCCAGGGCTGTGTTTGGCTTGTGCTCTGCCCCTTATCTACCTCCTTGACAATCTCAGCCAACCCCATGGGGAAGCAGTGTGATTAGCTCAGAGAATCACTTCTGATGATGTCAGCAGACACAGGCAGTTTCAGAGGCAGAAGGGGCAGAGCCAGCAGCTTTCGACTTGAATAAAAGTAAGATTTTACTATATTTAGGGAGGAAAGGGGGAGAACCAGAGGGGCTAGATGGTGATTTAACACTATAGGGTCAGGAATACATGTTTGTGTTCCTGACACTATAGTGTTCCTTTAAATATACAAAAATAAGTCATGTGCTCAAACTCCCACCACTCCTGGGCGGCAGCAATGACTATAGTACACATCAGCCCCAAAATAACTAGAAATGTGGTTGCCATTTGCCAACTGAAGCCTCTGTGTAACCACTGTTGACTAACTCTGTTGTTCTCTTTTCTTTGTGCTTCCCATCTTCTTGTTATTAAAGTGCGCACAATCATATTCTGAAACCTGTTTTCTTAGTTTGTTTTATTATTATTATTTCCACCTACTCAGTGCTTCAAGGTTTTCTTTCAACACACCTACACCCAGGGCCGGCCTTAGGGGTGTGCGAGCTGTGCGGCCGCACAGGGCGCCATGGAGCAGGGGGCGCCCTGCGGCCGACGTAGCTCACACATGGCCGGCCTAGCATTTAAAAAATAAATAAATAAATTGTGGCGGGCGTGGAGCTTCCCGCGCGGCGGTGGAGGAGTTTTCGGTGTGCCGGGGGTGGAGCATCCCGTGCGGCGGGGCAGAGCTAAAAGTGCCGGATAACTGCTACAGGGGAAGCAGGAAGGAGTCCCTGCTTCCCCAACAAACAGTCTCCAGGAGCTGCACTGTCTCCACAATGAACAGAGGTAACTATGTGTGATTGTCAGTGTGACTGTCTCTGTGTGTGTGTGTGTGTGTGTGTGTGTATGACTGTCTGCCTGTGTGTGTGACAGTCTGCCTCTGTGTGTGTGTGTGTGTGTGTCTGTCTATCTGTGTGTATTCCTGTCTGCCTGTGTGTGTGTGTATGACTGTCTGCCTGTGTGTGTGTGACTGTCTGCCTGTGTTTGTGTCTGTGTGTGTGTGTGACTGTCTGTCTGTGTGTGTGTGTGTGTGCATGACTGTCTGCCTGTGTGTATGTGACTGTCTGCCCGTGTGTGTGTATGACTGTCTGCCTGTGTGTGTGTGTGTGTGACTGTCTATCTGTGTGTATTCCTGTCTGCCTGTGTGTGTGTGTATGACTGTCTGCCTGTGTGTGTGTGACTGTCTGCCTGTGTTTGTGTGTGTGACTGTCTGCCTGTGTGTGTGTGTGTGCGTGCGTGACTGTCTGCCTGTGTGTGTTTGTGTGGCTTTCTGCCTGTGTGTGTGGCTGCCTGTGTGTGTGTGGGGGGGGGGCTGTCTGCCTGTGTGTGTGTGTATGTGTGTGGCTGTCTGTGTGTGTGTGTGTGACTGTCTACATGTAAGTATGTGTGTGTAAGACTGTATGTGTGGCTGTGTGTGTGTGTGTAAAACTGTATGTGTGGCTGTGTGTGTGTGGCTGTCTGCCTGTGTGTTTGGCTGTCTGCCTGTAATTGTGTGTGGCTGTGTTTATCTACCTGTAACTGTGTATGTGTGTTACTGCCTGTACCTGTGTGTTTCTGCCTGATCCTGTGTATGTGACTATCTGCCTGCGACTATGTGCATGTGGTGGATTTGACAGTGTATATGTATAACTGTGTGCATCTGACTGTGGGACTATGTGCATATAACTCTGCAAAAATATACACCTGCATTCACACACAGACCTAAATGCATGTTGATATCTGAATTAAATAACCATCACACACAGCGAATAGACCCAGCACAAATATCAAATACAACCAATACACGCATATCACACACTGTTAATAAATCCATTACAAATATCACACACAGCCAACACATAGCATACATATTACACACAGTCATCACACCTATCACATACACAGACAACACAAACATTACATCATACAAGGATGACTGGGGGGGATGGGGGCGCGCTGTGAAGATTTTTCGCACAGGGCGCCTAAGGCCGGCCCTGCCTACACCCATCTCTTCATTCAGTCGCTCTCTGAGGCTTATGACCCCAGTGCAAAATCACCCCAAAGGTCTAGTGTGCCAGTGAGTTTAAAGGGACATTATAGGCACCAAACCACTACACCTTTATGTAGTGGTGTTGGTGCATAGATGCTGTCCCATTTTATAGACAATGTAAAACATTGCTGTTTCTGAAAAAATGTCAATGCTTACATTTGGCAAAAACATGCATCTAGTCTAGTGACTGCCAGACAGAAAGCTACTAGAGTCACTTTCTACTTACATACTTTTATATTTGCACAGCGTGATGAAAACCACGGCTAGTTCCTATAGAGTAGTAGGAGGTATTATAAGGAGAGGTTATATTGAGTAGTAGGAGGAGTTATAGAGAAAGGTTATATGGAGTAATAGGAGGAGTTATAGGGAGAGGCTATATGGAGTAATAGGAGGAGTTATAGGGAGAGGCTATATGGAGTTATAGGAGGAGTTATAGAGAGAGGATATATCGAGTAATAGGAGGAATTATAGAGAGAGGTTATATGAAGTAATAGGAGGAGTTATAGGTAGAGGTTATATGGAGTAATAGGAGGAATGCACCTGAGGAAGACCTTGTGTTATGGTCGAAATGCATAGTGCCTGCTTTTTATTCTAATATTACATATTTCACTTCGGGTTCCTGTATTTCCATCCAGAGATACATTATTACCTTCTGGGGGGACCTGCATTCGCTCCAGCATCAACTTTGGATTGATGAACATGCTATTATACTTTAGAGCCGACTCATAGGGCTCTTTAATTGTGAGTGCTCCAAGTTACTCTCCATTATACTGTGTATAGATATATTACCCTATGGTGGTTTTTTATGTCTGTTATCCCCAGGTATAGAACGTGTACCTACTATAGACCATTGTGTGCGCAAACTCCCTTCTCTTCTATATCCTAATAGGAGGAATTATTGGGAAAGGTTATATGAAGTAATAGGAGTAGTTATAGAGAGAGGTTATACGGAGTAATAGGAGGAGTTATAGGGAGAGGTTATATGGAGTAATAGGAGGAGTTATAGGGAGAGTAGGGAGAGGTTATATGGAGTAATAGGAGGAGTTATAGGGAGAGGTTATATGGAGTAATAGGAGGAGTTATAGGAAGAGGCTATATGGAGTAATAGGAGGAGTTATAGAGAGAGGCTAAATGGAGTAATAGGTGGAGTTATAGGGAGAGGTTATATGGAGTAATAGGAGGAGTTATAGGGGGAGGTTATATGGAGTAATAGGAGGAGTTATAGGGAGAGGTTATATGGAGTAATAGGAGGAGTTATAGGGAGAGGTTATATGGAGCAATAGGAGGAGTTATAATGAGCGAGTATATGGAGTAATAGGAGGAGTTATAGGGAGAGGTTATATGGAGTAATAGGAGGAGGTATAATGAGAGGTTATATGGAGTAAAAAGAGGAGTTATAGAGCGAGGTTATATGGAGTAATAGGAGGAGTTATAGGGAGAGGATATATGGAGTAATAGGAGGAGTTATAGGGAGAGGTTATATGGAGTAAGTAGGAGGAGTTGCAGGGAGAGGTTATATGGAGTAATAGGAGGAGTTATAGGGAGAGGATATATGGAGTAATAGGAGGAGTTATAGAGAGAGGTTATATGGAGTAATAGGAGGAGTTATAGAGAGAGGTTATATGAAGTAATAGGAGGAGTTATAGAGAGAGGTTATATGGAGTAATAGGAGGATTACAGGGAGAGGTTATATGGAGTAATAGGAGGAGTTATAGGGAGAGGTTATATGAAGTAATAGGAGGAGTTATAGGGAGAGGTTATATGGAGTAATAGGAGGAGTTATAGAGAGAGAGGTTATATGGAGTAATAGGAGGAGTTATAGGGAGAGGTTATATGGAGTAATAGGAGGAGTTATAGGGAGAGGTTATATAGAGTAATAGGAGGAGTTATAGAGAGAGGCTATATGGAGTAATAGGAGGAGTTATAGGGAGAGGTTATATGGAGTAATAGGAGAAGTTATAGACAGAGGTTATATGGAGTAATAGGAGGTGTTATAGGGAGAGGTTATATGGAGTAATAGGAGGAGTTATAGAGAGAGGTTATATCGAGTAATAGGAGGAGTTATAGGGAGAGGCTATATGGAGTAATAGGAGGAGTTATAGGGAGAGGTTATATGGAGTAATAGGAGGAGTTATAGAGAGAGGTTATATGGAGTAATAGGAGGAGTTATAGGGAGAGGTTAGATGGAGTAATAGGAGGAGTTATAGGGAGAGGTTATATGGAGTAATAGGAGGAGTTGCAGGGAGAGGATATATGGTGTTATCCAATGAGCAAAGGAGTTGTTTGGAGAGATATCAGGATCAGTAGGTGTTATATAGAGTTTTCTTTAGCAATAGTATGGATTTTTATAAGGGATAACATGAAACTATATGATGAAATATTGCTAGAGGTTACAATAAGAAAGATTACAAATCGTTTAGCATGAACTACAAAAAGCTCTTTATAGATGTTTCTGACATCTCTATTCAGCCTTAAAAGCAGAAACAGACAGTTACATGGAAGAAGGAGGAGGTGGAGGAAGGATATGGTCTATGGCCCTTTCAGCAGCTGGAGATTGAAGAGCAGAGAGAGCTGGAGACTGGCCACACATTCCTCGAGTTTAAAGCAATAAAGCTTGGGCAGGGAGTAATCTGAAAGGATTTCCTGGATATCAGAAGGCAAGGCATGAAGGCCAGGAACACATCACCTGCATGAGAGGAGAGTGGAGAGCTGGCCGACGAATTATAGAGGGAGGGGTGGATAAAAAAGTGAGAATTGAGGAAAAAAGAGGGTGATGGGTAGAGACGGGAATGATGCACGTTTGAGGAAGAAAAAAAAATAGGGACTGGATATCGAAATAAAAGGGAAACATGGGAAATTAACAATATGGTCTTATGACACAATGGGAAGACACACACATTTAGGTTAAAGGGACACTATAGTCACCTGGACAACTTTAGCTTAATGAAGCAGTTTTGGTGTATAGAACATGCCCCTGTAGCCTCACTGCTCAATCCTCTGCCATTTAGGAGTTAAATCCCTTTGTTTATGAACCCTAGTCACACCTCCCTGCATGTGACTTGCACAGCCTTCCATAAACACTTCCTGTAAAGAGAGCCCTATTTAGGCTTTCTTTATTGCAAGTTCTGTTATAAGATTTTCTTATCCCCTGCTATGTTAATAGCTTGCTAGACACTGCAAGAGCCTCCTATATGTGATTAAAGTTCAATTTAGAGATTGAGATAAAATTATTTAAGGTAAATTACATCTGTTTGAAAGTGAAACCAGTTTTTTTTTTTCATGCAGGCTCTGTCAATCATAGCCAGGGGAGGTGTGGCTAGGGCTGCATAAACAGAAACAAAGTGATTTAACTCCTAAATGACGGTGAATTGAGAAGTGAAATTGCAGGGGAATGATCTATACACTAAAACTGCTTTATTTAGCTAAAATAATTTAGGTGACTATAGTGTTCCTTTAAAAGGCTGAGCGGTAAAATTGAGGCCATCTAACTGTTCTCTAAAAACAAAGTGTACAACCACTACAGCTCACTTTAGTGGTTAGGAAGCTTGAAGTGTGTAAGAACCCATTGGGGTTGTGTTTAGTACTGGAACTAAGGTGCAGTAATAACTCTCCCTTACAAGCATGATCTACAAAGATCCTGAGATTGAGAACAAGATTCTGTGGGGTCAGTGATGCACGGGGGCTTTAAAAAAATAAATAAAGGAAAATCCACCTGTGGGAGGGGTTACCTGAGGTCAATATGAATGACTGTAGGGCCATCGTGGATACATCATTGTCCTATCTCCGCCACACCTCTTCCAACCTCTGACTTGCAGACCATTCTCTTCATGCAGCGGCAATGAGTATCTTTGCGGCCCAGGCCACACTGTCCTACCGGGATACTAGGAAATTTCCTGGTAGGCCGTCTGCCAGTGTATTAGATTGGGGGCCAGAGTATTAGATTGGGGGGGCATAGTAAGTAACTTAAATTGAAGATTTTGAGTAAATTATATATATGTACCCAGGATTACATATTGGTGTAGGTCAAACTCTTTTTTTTTTTGTCGGCCCCCACTTAAGCTTAAACCTTGTTTATTTGGCCTGTGCCACCTTTTGAGTTTGACATGCTTGTGATAAGTGATGGCAGTAAAAGTGAGTGAACCTACTAGGTGCGGTGAGAATGGTAGGAGAAACAAACTTCAGGAAAGAAAAGAATGAAATAAGTCAGCAGAAAGATGGAAAGGGTATGGGAAAAAGAACACGAGAAAATGGGGGAGAGATAAAGGTGAAAACCAATTAACACCATAAGGAACAATCTGAGCTGATAGGTTTAGCATGTTATTTATTAAGCTACCTCTGAAATATTCTCCAGCATTGAATAGAGCAAGGTAGATAAATATAGGAGAGGAGTGAATAGAAAATAGATAATTACTGCGAATAAAGAACGAGTACATGTGTGCTTTTAAAATGTCAGAAAAACCTCAACACATTCAAGTGGTTTGCTCATGTCACTCGATTTCTGACACTTAGCGGACAGACCATTATATACACATCGCTCTTCCATTAAAGGGAATTTGAGACACGACAGATAACAACCAGGGATGTCATATGGAGATTGTCCCTTATGCTACAACGTGACACCGTGACACAAAACAGAGACATCTGTATAAATGAATCACACGGCACAAGGTCAGCAACAAAATAGTCTATATTTAAGCTGTTACGCTCATTATAACAGATAACTCAATGTCTTAGACACAGTGTATACTGTACACACGAACACTACGACAGCCAAGAGGTTAAAATTCCTTACGTCCATTGTGTTGCCCATAAAGGAAGGAGATCAATTGCCAATCTGGCTCAGCTCCAGCACTGCTTTCTGAGATTACCATCTTGGATGGAAATCACGCTAGCTCTGCAGAGCCCGAGAAAAAAAAAAATACACATGGACCAGCCAGCACCTTCTAGAGAACCTGTCAGACTTTCCATGAGGTCATAAAAAGGCTGGGTCTAGAGAACAGCAGAAATCACAATGTGTTGCAGTGAGAGTGGTGGGGGGAGGCATTGGGGGCCAGAGGTGACCTCGTTAACACCTTGGAACCAGCACTGGGGTTTTCTCATTGGCTCTAGAGCAATTTTATGAGGATTTACACCAAAAGCTGTAACTCCTATTGCAACGTTAACAGTTTTGCTGACAAAGACATATCAGAGTTTGTATCCCTTATCTCCTTTCACTATTTGTTACTGTGCCCGTCACTGTGCCCGGGAAATAGTGTTCCATCTCAGGTGAATAAACCATTAATTTAGCTGTTAAGACAGGGTTACAAAAACAAACATATATCTTCTGCATAGGAAAGGTGGTTCTCCATGCAACTGCATTTTTTTTAACACATACTCAACTTCTTAACTATTTATATGCTCTGAATCTACTCTTAAGAACACAAGCATGTGGATGATGTATGTGAATTTCTAAAAAGCAATAATGCACGCCTGGAAGCATTGTGCTCATTTTCTGAGTACTCGTACTATACAATATATCATATAAATATCAAATAAGTTTCTTCTGATCATAAAACATTCCCCCACAAAAAACCCCCCCAAAAATAAACCAACGAGAGACATTGTAGGAACTATAACCATTTGAATTGACTATAGTGCCTGGAATCCCCTGGCACTGTCGCTGCATTCAGTGTTAACCCATTTTGAGCAGTTTAGCACTGCAGAGATTACACTCTCAACCAATCACAGCTGCCAATTGCCGCTCAGGCTAATGATTCCACATTAGTACAAGCAGCACAGAGGGGATGGAATGTTGAGGACTCACTTAGCACTAAAACAATCATAATAATTTAATGCAAAATGGAAGGACGGCAAGGGGAACTCAAGACGAGGGCCGGCGCTATCTGTTAGGCAGACTAGGCAGCCACCTACAGCGCCCCTTGGGAAGGGGCGCCACCAGGAGCACGGCCCCCCTCATGCTGCAGCCGTCCGAGCGCTCTGTAGAGAGCCTCAGGCGGCTGCAGCTTTGCCCGGGCGCAGCATGAGGAGAGGGGCTGACAGGAGGGAAGCGCTCAGCGCTCCCTCCTGTCACTCCCTCACTGTAGCGTGGCCGAGCCCTCTATTGGTCCACGGGTACAGGGAGCATCTGTCTCCTGTACCCGGCCGGACTAACAGGAAGTGCACACTGAGTTACAGTGTCCCTTTAAGGATGGTTGAACAAAGCAGCTGCCTAGCTATTGGCTGTAGACTGGTTTGGACTTGCACACTTTGGACAAGGTGGCAAGTGCAAGTGAATGCATTTTTTGTCCATAAAAAGGTACAGATCTCCTTGTATGCTCCTTCTCAAACAGGACTTGATATATATGGGTTTGGCAGATAGAGGCTGCTGGAGGTGCAACATTTGATATTTTATACCCCTGCAACCTTCATGGATATGACCTGTACAGTGAGATGCTAACTCTGTTTTTTACGTCATTGCTACCAATGACAACCGGTGTGTGTGTGTTATGAATGTTATATGTATGTCATATGCATATGAACTTACGTCTCTTTTAAACCTTGTAGGGACATTGTGGTATGGTTCATTCCACCATTAAATTTTGTAGTGGGCTTGGAGAATATGAAGTACTATCACAATACGCATTCCTTCTGCTATTATTATCCACAGAAGAATTGTCTGTGGCTAAGTCCTACAAGTCCTGTATGTTAGTGGCTTGTGAGTGAGTTGTTCTAACCCCACCTACCCTCCCATTACCAGCCCTTTTCTGGCAGGAGACCACTGTTACCAGATCTTTAACATTGAAAACATGATGCCCATCTAGGGACACCCAGTTGTAGCACAGTTGTAGCACAGTAAATGGCCTGACACTGTGTGTTTCGCATTTGGGTTTATATAATGGCAATATCTCAATCTTGAAAAGGTGTTTCTCTGAGGGTTTTATATTGTAGCTCAACTCAATTTCCCTGCTTTTTGGGTTTATCAGCTAGATGTGTGCAGTCCCGCTCAGCATAATAAACTCACATATTTTGAGGTCTGGAGTACAGCTAAGTGTATGTAACCTAGCTCAGCTCTGTCTCCTTGGCTTCTTATCTGTCTCTCACAGCTATTTGTATGAATCTTGTTCAAGAGGTTCATAAAAATATACGGAAAGAGCCAACTATGACTCTTAAGCTTGGAAGTACGTGAAAGTGTCATGGTCAGGAGAAGAGGTAATTTTGAGTTTATCTTCTTGATTTCACCTAAACTTGTAATGAAAACCTTGTTTACGTCATATTTTTATTCTGTCTTAAATTTGACAAGTAAAAGAAATTAATTCTTGGGGGATAACAATGGTGTTTTTTTTTCACTTTTTATATTGGAGCTATTTTGCCTACCAACTGAACTTTGCTTCTGTACACCCTCTGATTGTAAGGAATTACGTGCCAAACGCTAAACCTAAACCGAATAGAAAGGATTGGGATGTTAGGTGAGAGAGATATATTAAGGATGCTAAAGAGGGCATGCATAAAGAATTGGCAGAGTATAATAAAAGATAAGGTATGGGTTCCAGAAATTCTAAAAATGGAAAAACTACTAGAACTGCAAAAAGGAAACTGAGTTCACTGGGGTCCAGGACATAAATACCAGAATGACAACTGTATTCCATCAATTTGGCCGTACTGAAGGTTTGAGAACATTCATCTAAAATTCGATGCAGTCAAATTGATGTGGGCAGAAATGATTATTTACAAAGGTGCTTTGAGTTTAAGCATCATCAGAGGCACTGTCACCTTGCAAGGATGTCATTGGTAGGTTAAGGTGATTATCCATTTTACCGAGGTCATGATCCATAAGGGAAGCCCGCTGAATTGGTTATGATGCAAGGAGTATCCTGGTACCTTTAACTGGTAAGTGGTCAAACTGTTTGCCACTAACCTAGGTCCCGCTGGTCACAGGTCTGCAATGAATAGAGAATGCAGAGGCCAGATGTCGATAATGCTGTTCATTCATTGGCTAAGAGCATCTCAGGCAATAAATTAGTGCATGTGCATAGAATATGCATAGACTTCACATTAGCCAGCTCTGAACGTTTAGGCTGGCTAATGCGTGCTGCAAGGTGGAGTTAAATCTTTAGTAGCAAGCTGCAGTATCTCTTTACACCATGACCACTTCAAAACACTGCAGTGACGGTGGTGCCTAGACTAAGTAACTAAACATTAAATGTTTAAAGAAATAAACATCATCATAAATGCATTGACTGAAAAATATTACCTTCCGAATAGCTCATTCAGTCTCACGTTTACTTTGATGGCTTTAGGCACACTATCAAGGTTATTCACTCAAGTGCGAATTTAAAGTGAATTTCCAATTTTAGGTCAAAGTAGCCGAACTGGAAGCATGGCTGACTAAAATAATTTTTCTGATTCGGCTATTTTGGCCTTAAAATTTAAATTTGCTCTGAATTCTCACCTTAGTGAATAACCCTGTATGGCTGGTGGCTGTTGATTTAATGCAAACTTCATTTGGCTGAGCATTCTGAGACTATTTGTCCATGGCGGACAAATAAACCAGATATTTTTACTCTACTATTAGTAAGGAGACTGGCAGGTGTACCTATCAGACAGGCTACCTATCTATTAACCCAGTTACTCCTATGCAATGCTCTCCCACACCGTATGTGCGTGTTCTGGTATCTTTGTAAATAGTTAGGTCTTTACCAGTGCTGGTGTTTGGCGCCGATTAATTTCACCTGGTGTTTTTTATGCTCAATGACTAAAAATGCAGGCCTCGTTAACAAACATGCAAGACATACATACAACAGGCACAGACTCCCCACTGACATAATACTACACACAGGCCTCAGTAATACAAAAAACTACATGCCGGCCCACACGCGCACTGAGTTGAAAACCATTCATCGCTAATGACATTCACACAGCACTTCATTATCCATCCAGGCTGTTACAAAGGACAGTTTCTGTCACAGGGACGTAACACACGCACATTGCTTACAGAACTGGCCTCTGCAATGCTCGCATTCCTGATGCAAACGGAGCTCTGTGGCACATACACATGATTGCTGACACGAACATTTTGCTGAAACGCATAAAATAAAATAACAGTAACAAATATATCAAAATCTATATTCACATGTACGTATAAATTGTAAATGTTATGTTTTATGTTGCTTTCTGACAAACAACGCAGTAATTGCATTCACAATCCATGCTGACGACCAAATACACAAACCTAGTGATGCATAAGACAGACATAGAAACATAGAAACATAGAATGTGACGCCAGATAAAAACCATTCGGCCTAATTTTCTAAATACTTTCATTAGTCCCTGGCCTTATCTTATAGTTAGGATAACCTTATGCCTACCCCACGCATGCTTAAACTGCTTTACTGTGTTAACCTCTAACCACTTCAGCTGGAAGACTATTCCATGCATCCACCACCCTCTCAGCAAGGTAATACTTCCTAAAATTATTTTTAAACCTTTTTCCCTCTAATTTAAGACTATGTCCTCTTGTTGTGGTAGTTTTTCTTCTTTTAAATATAGTCTCCTCCTTTACTGTGTTGATTCCCTTTATATATTTAAATGTTTCTATCATATCCCCCCTGTCTCGTCTTTCCTCCAAGCTATACATGTTAAGATCCTTTAACCTTTCCTGGTAAGTTTTATCCCGCAATCCATGAACCAGTTTAGTAGCCCTTCTCTGAACCCTCTCTAAGGTATCAATATCCTTCTGAAGATACGGTCTCCAGTACTGTGTACAATACTCCAAGTGAGGTCTCACCAGTGTTCTGTACAATGGCATGAGCACTTCCCTCTTTCTACTGCTAATACCTCTCCCTATACAACCAGGCATTCTGCTAGCATTTCCTGCTGCTCTATTACATTGTCTTCCTACCTTTAAGTCATCAGAAATAATCACCCCTAAATCCCTTTCCTCATATGTTGAGGTTAGGACTCTATCAAATATTCTGTACTCTGCCCTTGGGTTTTTACATCCAAGATGCATTATCTTGCACTTATCCATATTAAATGTCAGTTGCCACAATTCTGACCATTTTTCTAGTTTACCTAAATCATTTGCCATTTGGCTTATCCCTCCTGGAACATCAACCCTGTTACATATCTTAGTATCATCAGCAAAAAGACATACCTTACCATCAAGACCTTCTGCAATATCACTAATAAAAATATTAAAGAGAATGGGTCCAAGTACAGATCCCTGAGGTACCCCACTGGTGACAAGACCAAGCTTTGAATATATTCCATTAACTACAACCCTCTGTTGCCTGTCACCCAGCCACTGCCTTACCCATTCAACAATATTGGAATCCAAACTTAAAGATTGCAGTTTATTGATAAGCCTTCTATGTGCAACAGTGTCAAAAGCCTTACTGAAATCTAGCTAAGCAATGTCTACTGCACCACCCTGATCTATAATTTTAGTTACCCAATCAAAAAAATCAAGATTAGTTTGGCATGATCTCCCTGAAGTAAACCCATGTTGTCTCTGATCTTGAAATCCATGTGTTTTTAGATGTTCAACAATCCTATCCTTTAACATGGTTTCCATCGCTTTCCCCACTACTGAAGTAAGGCTTACTGGCCTATAGTTGCCCGACTCCTCCCTATTACCTTTCTTGTAAATGGGCACAACATTCGCTAACTTCCAATCTTCTGGGACTACTCCTGTTAACAATGATTGGTTAAATAAATCTGTTAATGGTTTTGCTAGTACACCACTAAGCTCTTTTAATAGCTTTGGGTGTATTCCATCATGTCCCATTGACTTATTTGTCTTTACTTTTGACAGTTGAAGTAGAACCTCTTCCTCTGTAAACTCACGTGTAATAAATTACTCATTTATCCTTTTTCTTAACTGAGGTCCCTTTCCTTAATTTTCATCTGTAAATACAGAACAAAAATATTCATTGAGGCAGTCAGCTAGACGTTTATCCTCTTCTACATACCTTCCTTCTTTTGTTTTTAATCTAACTAATCCTTGTTTTACTTTTCTTTTCTCATTTATGTATCTAAAAAAAGTTGTGTCCCCCTTTTTTACTGACTGTGCTATTTCCTCTTCTGTGTGTGATTTGGAAGCTCTTATAACTTGCTTAGCCTCTTTCTGCCTAATCTTATAGATCATTTTGTCTTCCTCACTCTGGGTTTTTTTATAATTCCTAAATGCTAACTTTTTGTTTTTAACTATCTTGGCCACATCTGCGGAGTACCACAGTGGTTTCTTGAATTTTTTGCTTTTACTGACAAGCCTAATGCAATTTTCTTTTGCCTTCAATAGTGCAACTTTTAAATAATCCCATTTCTCTTGGACTCCATTTAAATTGCTCCAGTCTGATAATGACTCCTCTACACATATTCTAATTTTAGAAAAGTCTGTTTTTCTAAAGTCTAAAACTTTTGTTTTTGTGTGGTGTGACTCAGTCACTGTTCTTATATTAAACCACACTGACTGATGATCACTGGATCCTAAACTTTCACCTACAGTAATATCTGATACCAAATCTCCATTTGTTAACACTAAATCTAGTATGGCCTCTTTACGAGTTGGCTCCTCAACAACTTGTTTTAGAGATAATCCCAGTAGGGAGTTTAGAATATGTGTGCTCCTGGCACAAGTAGCTAATTTTGTTTTCCAATTTACATCAGGAAGATTAAAGTCACCCATGATGATAACTTCCCCCTTCATTGTCATTTTAGCTATTTCCTCACCTAGCAGATTATCTAACTCTTCAATTTGTCCTGGGGGCCTATAAATCACACCTACACGAGTTACTGTGTGATTACCAAATTGTAACGTAACCCAAACGGACTCTATGTTCACCTCACTAACTTTTATTAGGCTAGATTTTATGCTATCCTTCACATACAGGGCCACCCTTTCTTGCCTTCCCTATCTTTTCTATATAAAGAGTACCCTGGTATTGCTATGTCCCAGTCATTTTTCTCATTATACCATGTTTCAGTAACAGTGACTAAATCTACACTATCAGTTGCCATTATTGCCACAAGTTCATGGATCTTATTCCCTAAACTGCGAGCATTTGTAGACATGACTCTAAGCTTATCATTTTTTAACACACTTGCTACAGGCACCTTCTGTCCTTGTTTTGGGGGACAAGTGGATTGATGTTTTACCACCCTTTTGCCCCCCCTCCTAGTTTAAATACATCCAAGCAAAACCTCTGAACTGCTCACTGAGAACATTTGTTCCCTTTTGAAAAAGATGCAAACCATCTTTTTTGTCCAGGTTATTTCCATTCCAAACAGAGCTACCATGAGAAATAAAGCCAAATCCTTGCTCCCGACACCATTCACCAAGCCACAAAGTGTTATGCACAGGCAGAACTTCAGAGAATGACAGTGTGGAAGCAACCTGCTGTATATCATTGGCAAAAACACTAAAAACTTCCTTAACCTCTGAAACCTCATTGCAAGCCAAGTCATTTGTCCCTAGATGGACAAGTACATCCAATTCCCCTTCATGCTTTGCTTGCTTAACAATATTACAGATATGTCACCAGTCTCTGTGAGCAGTAGCTCCGGGAAGACACCTCACAAGACCACCATTGTCCATCTCCACACCTCTTATGATGGAATCCCCCAACAACAACTGCTTTCTATTAGGCCTCACCATAGTCTCCAAGCCGGTCTCCACAACACCACTAGCCTCAGTGCCTCTCTCCACAACACCACTAGCCTCAGTGCCTCTCGCCACAATACCACTAGCATCAGTGCCTCTCTCCACAACACCACTAGCCTCAGTGCCCCTCTCCACAACACCACTAGCATCAGTGCCTCTCTCCACAACACCACTAGCCTCAGTGCCTCTCTCCACAACACCATTACACTCTGAAAGTGCATAAAATTAATTATGTAGAGCAACAGACTGTGCAATATGCCTTTTATCCACAACTCTAAGTCTACCAGATCCTACAGTAATCCATCTGCCATTCCTATTATGTCTCTGCGGCAGTGGCTTTGCAGCAGTTCCAGTCTGAGTTTGTTCACCAGATAATTTACAAATCTCAGACTTCAAAAATACAATCTCCTGCCGCAAGATAGGACAGACACAGACAGACACTTACAAGCCATTCTGGTACACATAGACACTTTTATAAACACACAAACCTACTGACACAAACAAACACAAATATACTCTATTTAAATAAACTGTGTCTGTGTGCACAGGAAAACACACAAATTCTATTGACCGAAATAAACATCCTCTACTCTAAACGCGAGAACTGATTACACATCCAGTAGTCAGTTCACATGGGTCCTATATAACATAGCTATCTTCATTCTCTGCTGTGGAACAGATCCATTTGATGTCCCACACATCAGTTAGTTAAATGGTAGTTTGGACCAAACACATAATATGTCCAATAGCTTGGCTACTATGTGTTAGTGTAGTGTGTATAGACTACTTGGATGTCCCATAGACTAGACATGTGAGTCGTAGAATAGAACAAACAAATTCTATGTTCCATAAGTTCTGTCTATGTTGAGCTGAAGTCCCATAGTTTGGTTTTGTCTATTATATGCCATATGCTTCTCAAGTTTTACAGTTCAGAGGTTTTGCAATCTCATATAAATCAGGTGGTCATCTGGATTTTTTTGTATGATCCATAGTGTGCTAGAACTTTAATTGACTTTGAAGAGGTCATCTCACATTTGCTTGCTAAGAAGCCTGACTTTGGTACTGGATTAAGTGCATATTATACAAATATATTTAGGAAATGAAGGAAATATGTCCAGATGCTGTTATAAAGGCCAGTGTGGGGGCTGAAAATCACATGCATTTCATTTATAGCTGCCTGGGGTTACATGATGTCAGAATATTCATGCAGACTGCAGTCGCAAACTGTCACATCTTGCATATTATGTGTTGCTTGAATACGTTTGCTGACATTCTTCTTGGATATACCAAGAATAATTTCATAAAAAGCCCACGATACCAATTTCAATCATTTTTTTTGTAGCCTGACCTTAAAGCAGAAAATATGGAGCATTTGATTGGTTATAGTGATTGCGGCAATCGTTCTTCACAAGTGGACCCATAAAGTAGACTCGTTAAATAGCCTCGTTAAGTAGAAAATCCTAACCATTTTAGTAAATAGAATTTTTGCTTCCTGGCATTAGATGAATACATGGAGGAGTTGAAGGAACATCTGGAGACTAAGCTAACACAGCTAATCTGTCCATAATCAAACCTTGCCAAGACAAGTCAGATCCAAAATTACTTATCACAATACAACGTGAGAGCTTATTTACATCTTCCAATTTTGAACAATTATAGCATACAAGGGGAAGGTGTTGGCTCGTAGGGGGTAGGCATAGAAAACCAAGAAGTACCAACATAAAAAGTACAATGCACTTCTATTTGTAATCTATAGGGGGTGCTGAATAGTCATTCCTCGCTGAAAGCAATGCATTGTGCAGTAAGGGCGCTGATGAGTGCCTTTATAATTGTCAAAATGTTCCAAAACAGTTTGACAAAAAAGCATGGGAAGGCAACCAAAATCACTTTGGTTAGAGGGATCTCAACCAAGAAATATCTAAATATAAGTTTCTACTGTATTTCTAAATTATCTCAAATGATATAGTGCTGACTAATTTGTTGCCTCTTAATAAATGCATAAAAAATTGTTTTAAAAAATAAAGAATCATGTTGAAACATTCAAATAAATTACATATAATGCTTATATCCCGAATAAATATTGGAAACATGGTCTATATGTAATTTTTATAACAAATTAAATTCGGATGTTGTAATACAAGTTAGATTCTGTCAGTCTAATAAAAAAGGTATTACGAGATACAAATTGAATGTGTTATTTTACAACTGCATCACTGGACTAATACCGCCTACAACCTCTACTCTAACATTATACATTGTTTATAAAAGTCGACTAAATAAAGACTGGATTAGAATTAAGACACCCATGGACATATGCATAAACATAGATATTGAGTGCTTGATACATGTACTTTGTATTTTGTAGATCAACTAAACAAATACTGCTTGTATTTCTGTTTTGGTGTTGCAGTTGCCTGACTGTAGCTTGATGGCTCAGATTTTATAAATTCCACTTCAATGGAAGAAGGGGCCACGGGAGAATAGAGATGGCTGGGGATAAAGAGATATATAATAGAGCTGTGTAAACACAAGATGCATAGCAAGTTAGAGCAGAATCCCTTAAGTATATACATTCTTCCATATATTTGAGTATAATCGCTGCAAAGCATGAGTTGTTCATCTGTATATTGTAACTATATCCCAGTTTATGACAATGTATATTGGCCGCAAGGCAAGATTATTAATAATATAACAGACAACATATTTCTCAAGTGGAAGCATTCCCACAATGCATCTGGCTGCAGGGCCCTCAAATTGCATGCTACCATAACATTAAAATATCCTTAGTGAGTTTCTCCGGTGCTGTTCATCTGCTGTTATGCATTCAATGTGCCATTTTCCATTACTTAAGGTTTCACAGCAGAACAATTTGGGTTGGTTAAAAAGATTTATTCAAGATTCTTATAATTCCGTTTTCGCAAAAAAATGTGAAACAATCAGCCAGTAAATTGATAGCAGCTACTGTACAGCTGATATCAGTTTAGGAATCTTATCCACCTATCCCATGTGAAGAATGGAGTTGCTGCCAAGTTTGTATCTAAATAAGCCATAAAACATTGCTGGGCTTTATAGGAAACATTTAGTCTCCTCAGAAAAGAATGATGGCCTTTTGATTGGATGAGTTACTTCCCGGTTTGGACAGAAGTCTACGTGAAAGCTGAAAATACATCAAATGCAGGAAATTTAATGGTGCAATAATATGTTGCTTAATATGTAATAAGTAACCATTGTTCCAATATAAAACTAATTCACACACGGTTTCTAAAGATAAAGGAAGTGTAGGTGGAATGTTTATGTTCTATCAGTCTATACCAGGCATAGGCAACCTTCGGCACTCCAGATGTTCTGGACTACACCTTCCATGATGCTTTGCAGCATTACAGGTGTAAGAGCATTATGGGGGATGTAGTCCAAAACATCTGGAGTGCCGAAGGTTGCCTATTCCTGGTTTAAATACTAGAAAGATTAAGATCTCAGGGGGTCGTAGGTTACATAGGAATGATTGATGGGGCCAAGCAAATGTATGGTTTTCGAGGGCCCCTGTCTAACCCCTGGGTTCCTGGCAGTTGCCTAGAGCTGTGTTATGGTTAATTCAGCTCTGATACTCGCCACCTTTGTGCACCCACCTTGTAGGAAAACTCATCTTTAAGGTTTCTTCTTACCCTGTAATTTCTTCTTCCAAGAGAAAAGTAGAAGATAATACTAATTGAGTTTTTGCCTCTTTTCAGCATTGTCATGTATTCTGTTTTGGGTTATAAGTCAATGGCCATAACATAGGGTATGCATATATCACTGATATATTATTTACAATAATATTCAGGAACAGCAGCGATAGTGAGAAAAGGGAAGGAAGGGGTAGAATGTTTTAAAAAATCATCAGAACATTTGTAACAATGTGCTTCAAACAACTAGATGCCTTCCTCCCCCGTCCTCCCCAACATTTCAAATTGATAAAGAAAGACACTTTGTAGGGGTGTAAGTGGGGGTGAGGCCAGGGCTGTTCTGAGAAATTTAAGGTGGCGTATTAATAATAATTTATACAACTAAAATGTAATTCAGACCAAGAACAATGTATCTTATTTGCACATACTGATTCCTAAACACATATATTGTAGTTTAAATAAACATTACTGTGAGTATTATTGTACAATCAGACACAGCAACAATATCAAACTCCTAGAAAAGAGGGACATTATGATAGGAAAGATAGACAGAGGGATTTGGGGTCAAGGTAGGTATTGACCCTCCTAAATAAGGACCGTTGGGAGGTAAGATATATATACGTTTACCATCCACACTACTGTCGGAATGACAAGTGCAGCTATATTAACTAGTTTGGAACAAATTTTGTCCAGTATGGGAGGGCTGAAAAAAATGTGGAGCCAAATTTTTCAAGACAGAATAGGGTCTATTCTGTGGCAAAACTCTAGATCAGCGGTAGGCAACCTTTTAGCAGCACTGTGCCGAAATATGATTGTGATGTCTCGTAGCGTGTCGGTCCTATTTCTTTAAATTGAGGTGTGCATGTTGCCATATTCTGCTTGTGTTATTTATACTGCATTTGCTTTGTATCGTTGTATTTGTGCATTTATGAGCTATCATATTGTATATGTCCATTAATAGTTTGTGGTATCATGTATAATACCTATGAATTTGGGCTGTGTATGGGGGCTTCTTGTGGAATTGTGTGTGTGGATGGATATGTCACATTGTGTATTTGGTAGTGTGAGTATGTGTGGGGCTGTTTGGGGCATGTGAGAGGCTGCATGTGGGGTTGTGTGCATGTATGTGGATTGTTGGTGGTGTTGTGTATGTGTTTGATTTATTTGTATGAGGGGAGGGTTATTCTGCAGCTCTGAGGCTTCCCTGGGTTTTAGTGGGGACCAGGCTGGCCAGGTACAGCTCAAGGACAGAAGCTACAACAGGAAGCTGTGGGCTGCTCTACTCCAGTGTGGATTCCCATTCACAAGTGCTGGGAGGAAGTGATCTGATAAATGGAGGATTGTCCTTCACCACCTTTTCGTATAACAGATATCTGATGTTTCACTGGGACTCCTGACAGGCCAGAGCCTATTTGGCTCTTGTAGCTTTGAGTGCCGTGCAAAGGCACCTCGAGTGCTGTGCATGGCACTAGTGCCAGATGTTCAGAAATCGTGTATTGGTTTCTGTACTGATTGCATACATGCTTTTGAAAACAAAGGAAATATAATCATTACTTAAGTACTCAGTAACTTTATTTGAAAAGCTACCACGGCACTAGTAGTTGTACACCATTACCCTCTATTTTTACAAAAAAAAATTACTAACCTAAAAATGTATCTGATCTGAGCACTTGCAGTACAACATACAGGGCTGAAAAAAACCTGATATACAGTAATCCGATTTAAACCCGTGGAGAATCAGATTACTGTATTCAGTTTTTTTTGTACGTTTATAGCATTTTTATGACGATTGCACCTGTTTGCCTTTTTCATGGGAAAGAGGGAGTTTGGAACATTCTGCGTCGTTTTATGTTTAAGTAAACAAGTACTTATTATTGTCTAATACAGTGTACTAGATTGCATAAGCAACAGACATGATGTCCAGTAAGGAAATATTTCTATTGAGGGAACAGTGACCTGGTGTCAGGAGTAGACCAAGACTACTTTACCTCATTGAAGTGGTCTGGGTGCACTGTCTCTATCCCTTTAACCTTAGAATGTAAAACTTTGCAGTTTTAGACAAACCATAATGTTTACATTAATATTCAGGAACATCAATGTGTTGGGTGTTCCAGACAAGAACTAGAGGCGAATCCTGCTGTTTCACAGAGTTTAACTCTATGAAATTACGCTGGACGTCCTCACACTGTGCGTAAGGACATCCAGTGTCTTCAAAAGCACTGGTTCAATGCTTTCCTATGAGGAAGGCCAAAAGCACGTTAGGTTCCCCCTCGCAATGACATCGGAGGAGGCAGAGACGGAGAAAACGCCAAATGACTTTGGCGATGGAATAAGGTAAATTAAAAATGTTTTTTTTTAACCCCTTTATCACTGCGGCGGGAAGGTGTGGGGGCACTATAGTGTATTAATAACAATATTGTGTTCCTTTTACACAGCGCATATTACATTATACTGACCTTATTGTTATCTAGCCTCAATATAGATCATCCTGTAAACTTTTGTCTAGTTCCAGGGCCGGTGCAAGGATTTCTGCCGCCATAGGCAAAGATCCATTTTGCCGCCCCCTCATGTCACTCACTTACTGACAGACACACACACACACAAACTCACTGACAGACATACACTCACTCACACACACACACACACAAACTCACTGGCAGACATACACTCACTCACACACACACACACACACAAACTCACTGACAGACATACACTCACTCACACACACACAAACTCGCTGACAGACATACACTTACTCACAGATATTTACTGACAGACATACTCCCAGGCAAACATACACTCACTGACAGACACACACACACACACACACACACAGACACTCACTCACTCACAGACATACACTTACTCACTGACAGACACACAGACACTCCTGGGCCCCCTGTGACAGCATTCCTCTGCGTGCCCCCACCTTAAAAAAAAATATGATATTCATATTAAATTTGTATATTTAGAGGTCCAATTATAACTGGTTTTCCACATTTTATCATTGATTAATCATCTGTACTTACATGTTTGTTGACTTTTTGTGTTCCCCATGCAGCCCTCATTAGTCAGGTGATTCCCAAATTTGAATATTTACCCAAAGTGAAGGACTTTGAAGCTGTGGCATGTTTATCTAACAGTCTGAACCAAGAAAAGAAAACTAAATAAATATGAATAAAGCAAGCAGTGCCACTACTAAACCAAGATGGAAAAAGGAAAATTGTTGGTCACTGAGACACCTAATACTATTTAGAATGTTTTGAACTTGTTTATTTTTGGTAAATAGCAGGTTAATAAATTTTTGGTGGGTTTGGTTGCTAATACAGGACATTTACTTCCATACTTATGCTTATATGCTCACATGCTTTGTTTGGGAAAAATCGTTAGTGAGGGGCTGACCTGGGTTGCAGCCCCAATTTGGTTCCTTAAAAGCACAGAGTATGATCTTAGAAAAATAGTGTTAGCGTCAAGTGTCCTGAAAATCTGAAGTTGAAGGTGTTATTTCTCTGTTAACATTAGAGTTCACCTGCAGATTTTTCATTTTCCAATATTTTACTGATAAGTAAACATATTGACTGTTTTAGCCTGTTTCAATATTTGAGAAGAAGTAAATACGTTAATATGGGGAATCTCTGTTTGTTTTAAGTATTCAATGCCACAGAGTCAAAAAGATGGATTTGAGACACTCCAATTATTATTGAAAGGGTTTGTAGATCCAACACAAACTGCACACCTCAATGAGTATTTCTGATAAATACAGTAATGATGGTGTGATAATGTGAGATCTTCAGTCAAGATGTTCTTTGAGGGTTACTCTCTTTTTCGTCTGGTCTAACCTCTAGAATTTCTCTCTTACAGCTGATGATGAACACCCGAATTATAATTTCAGCCCATGTGGCATGACAGACAAAATCTGCCTTCAAAAACAGCAGGCAAAACGTATTCAGTACCAGATGTTTAACAATGCCAAGTTTATGAAGAACACCAACAACAATCAACCTATGATAGAAGTCCGCGTGGTAAGGAACTCACTTTAATCCCCAACGGGCACTTTTGTTAAACTATTTTACTCGACTTTCAGGTTCATTCAATAGAGATTTTCTTTTTTATAACTCATTTACTTTCAGCCTATCATATCATGTTCCAGTGATGATTTTTTATTTTTTATTAACCATGCCTTTGTCTTATCTTGTTGTGTGAGTTACTCATAAAACATGTTTTTTTTGTCCCTTTAAGGGTCCCTGCCATAAGGAGTTAAATAGAGCCTTGGAAAGACTGTCATCTTATCAAACCAAAACACAAGAGGACTTCCTGAGCATCCCTATCCCAAACTGTGAACGTAGTGGGAACTTCAACCCCAAGCAGGTAAAAATCAGGCCCTGGAGCTCGTAGTCTTTTTTTAAAAAGACACAATAACCACTACAGCTCAGTGTAGTGGTTATGGTGTCAATAGTTCCGGGACCCCCTTCCAGAGGAATCAGTCAAACCGTTTAAGAACATACCTGAGGTCTGCTGGGAAATGGGGCTGTAGTAGGGCATAGGAGCAGTGGTGTGTGTGAGTGGTGCAAAGTGTAAGGGGGGCAGTGTGTGTGTGAGGGCGACAGTGTGTGAGCAGAGTGTGTGTGTGTGAAGGTTGCAATGTGTGAGTGAGGGCGGCAGTGTATGTCAGGGGTGCAGTGTGAGTGTGTTAGGGGGGCAGTGTATGTGTGGGTCAGTATGTGTGTGTGACAGTTGCAGTGTGTGTTTTTGAGGATTGCAGTGTGAGTGTGGGACAATGTGTATGTGTAGGGCTATGTGTATATGGGGGCAGTGTATTTGTGTGGAGGGCAATGTGTGTATGGGGGCAGTGTGTGTATAGGGGGAAAGTTTATGTGTGGCAGTGTGTGTGTATGGGGAGCAGTGTGTGTATGGGGGCAGTGTATGTGTGTGTGTGGGAGGGGCAATGTGTGTGTGTGATTATAAAAAAGCCCCCCTACCCTTCTTATCACACACACACACACATTGCCCCCCCCACACACATACACTGCCCCCATACACACATATAATTAAATTTTAAAAAAAAACACATATTATAAAAAAAGGCCTTCTACCCTTCTTATATGTGTTGCTTTTTTAAAATTTAATAAAAATAAATATACATTATGCACCCCTCCCTTCTTACCTTTACTGGAAGGAGGGAGGACATTTTTCAATCCCTGGTGGTCCATGGGGAGTCCCTGGTGGTCCCAGTGGTGAGAGTGAATGTGCTGTGCTGGCAGGGGAGAGGGAGACCCTCGGTTTTCTCGGGTGGGCAAACGAGTATGTTTTCCTGGCACTATAGTGGTCCTTTAAACCCCCGGAGCATTAACCAAAACATCTCTGTTCTTTAAACCCCCAGAGAATTAAAACATAACTCACCAGAGTTCTGCCCTATTAGCCAGAACTTCAACCAAATGATCATAAACTCAACTAGTCCACCCCTCTTTAAATTAGGCAGGTGACCTCAACCCCCATAAAAGACCACGACAATGAATAGGGAGGGAGGGCGGGGAAAACAGCTCCAGAGAGGAGTAAATACTTCTTTCTTCAGGTATTTCTTCTTTCTTCTGGCGCCAAAAACTTACCTCAGGGCGCCTTATATACCCTATTTTCCCGCCCCAGAGTACCCTCGCGGACAAGTGCTCCAATTAGAGTACTGTCCGCGCGGACACCTGTTTGAAAAGCGCACGAGGGCACTGCAACAGCTGTTGCTAATTGCCCTCGCGGTCAAGGCTAATCGCGCCGCGATCTGACCCCTGATTAACCCTGAGACGCACATGTGTACCTAGTCTATGGACTAGGTACATTCTAATCTCTCTCTAATTTATGCTTTCATCTTTAAAGTAATCCATACCCCCTAAAAGCAGTGTCCAGTGAAGCAGGACATCAATGGGTGGGGTAAAAGGGTGGGCCACTGACACGAATCATGTAACAAGAACCGCTAAAAAGGGGCAATCATGCCCAAAAAGGGGACATGTCTGCCCAAAGAATTGGAAGGCCAGCCTGGCATGAATATATGCATGTCAGGCTACCTGCCAATCATGCAGCTGGCCAACTAGGGGCATACTATCCAGTCAGCACCCTAAGCGTCGCATAAATGCATCTAATGATGTGCTCACTCCACACATTCTAAGGACTGTCCCCTTGTCCCCTTACCTTCTTACTAAAAGGCAGAAGCTCCTGGTATATAGTCTGGGACAGAGGGACAGAAAAAAGGTGGATGTGGTGAGTGTAGAAGAAAGGGGACATGCCACGGTGTTAGAAAGACCAAAGTCAGCATTACTTTAACTAATTTCATTGTCAGACAGTCCACACAAGTTTTGTTTCCCTACATCACTCTTAAGTTTCCATGCTTAAGAAAGACTATGTGAAGAGTAGTGTGTAAAAAAAAAAAGTTTAAAAAAGAAAGTAAAAATAAATTTATATATATATATATATATATATATATATATATATATATATTATTTTGAAAAAAAAATTTTTAATCAATGGATCCTATATTAATCGGGCCCAAAGTGGAGCACGACCAAACCACATACAATCCCCATGATCTAATATATGCTTTGTGTTTTATAGTATGGTATAGTGCTGTGTTTGAGTAGGACGTTGCACAAGCTATAGTATAGTAATGAGTTAAAGAAGTACAGTGTAGTGTATGATGGGGAGGATGTTCAACTTACTGTGTGTTAGCTCGTATGATAAGCAGGCTTAACATATTATAGTATAGTAGTGAGTATGTTAAGGAGATTTTAATGTTTATGATATATCAGTGTGCATGAACATATATTTGTACATATGAAGTGATATGATGGTTTGTATATATTATGGTTCAGTAGTGTGTATAGGGCGGAATGTTATATATTATGATATAGTAGTGTGTAATGATGGTGGATCTGTATAGTATGGTACACTAGTGTGTATGGGGGACCTGGCACCCAGACCACTTCATTGAGCTGAAGTGGTTTGGGTGACTATAGTGTCCCTTTAAAATAATAGTGTACTATCCTAGAAACCTACTTTTCTACCCTACCCTTACCTTTTGTGTCACAATGTTAGCTCATTGAGCAGGGCCCTCAATCCCTCTGTTCCTGTGTATCCAACTCGTTTGGATACAAATACTTGTCTGTTAGTCCACCCATTGTACAGCGCTACAGAACTTGTTGGCGCTTTATAAATAATAATAATAATAATGAGTTGGCGCTTCTGCATATTACAATATCATAATGTGTACAAGAAGGATACACCATGTGAATTGTGGTATATTTAATTTATGATAGTCATTGTACATACATGTGTTGTAGTGTAGTAGTATATTAAGATATCTGTTAGATTATACGTCAGAGTTTAGTGGCTGGAATTCTAGTTGTATAAAAACACATGGATGCTTTATCTTAGAAATACTTTACCTGTCACCTTGTCCTCACAGTGTCACCCAGCTTTGGATGGGCAACGCGGAAAATGTTGGTGCGTGGACTGGAAAACGGGTATCAAGCTACAGACGGCCTATGACCCCGTTCAAGATCCAGATTGTCAGCTGGCTTCTAAAAATGTCTGAAAATAAGGACCGCACAGGAGAAGATGTTCCTGATTAACTTCCTCCACCAAACACTAATACAGAGATCCAACTCACAAAAGACTTTTGGGACCAACTTTGTTTGATGACCCCCACAGAAGACATCACCGCAAACTTAACTTCTTCGCTTTCTGAGGGGCTTATAACACTTTGCAGTGTACCCTAGCAATGAGTTACAGGAACCTAAGGAAAGGAAAGAGTGAATACACCACTTGGAGGGATAAGGGGGGAAGTTGGGTGGAAAAAACATTTTGGTTTTTTTTTTGTACATTTTTTATTTTATTTAACAGTTAATTTTATGTAAGACATGTAGGAATGAGATAACTTTCTGGGGAAAATCCTCCACTATGGTACAATTTAGTAAGTCAGATTTAGAGAATGTAATGGGGTGTATCAGCCTGCGTTGAGTGTAGGTGAGTGTCAGTTTGCAATAAGTACGAGTGAGTGTCGGTTTGCACTGGGTGCGTGAAAATGTCTGTTTGCTTTGAGTAGGACAGGATTTGGCCGTTACTGTCGATGTGTACTGAATGCTCTGTTTGCTTTGAGTGAAAGTGGTTGTCAGTTTGCATGGAGTGAGAAAATCTGTCTTTTATTTTTGATAATAGGCGATATTCAGTCGAACAGAGGATGTTATAGAGCGGTGGTGTGTGCTACAATACAGTGGGTCGCAACGTGGTAGCTACAAAGTAATATTATTGCATGGTACCGTCAAAGTTGCACAGAGGTATTGTATGGTAAAATAGGGCAAAGATGGCTAATCTTGGCATCTCAATTGTTAGAGATCTACATGTACCATGATGCTCTATATTTCTAATGATGCTCAGTCAGTCTTAGTGTCTTAGTTTTGACTGAGAATAAAGGACATATATTTCACAAACCTCTGGGATGCTAGTATTACTCATCAATGAAATTGGAAGCCAGGGGGGAATCCTAGAATGAAATTGCATGGTACAATATTGGGTGCTTTAGAATGGGATTGTATGATAAAATAAGGTATGCTATAAGGTTACATTTCTCGTATTTTCAGTGAAATTGCATACATCAGAGTTACTGGATGACATTTCATACAGTGTGTGATGTTGAAGATTATTAAGTGCTTGTACAGCAGGGCATGCTATAAATTTGAATTGCAAAGTACAGTAGGGGTTGCTATAAAGTGCTATATTGCTTGGCCAATAGGGGGTGCTATATCATGGAGCTACACTGATAAAAAAAAACAAAAAAAAACACAGAGCAGAAATACATGCAACAACTTGAGTTGATGCAATAGGGTCTAAATTACGAAGGGTAATAGGGGGTGCTTTGCAGTGTAATTGTATTAAACAATAGGGGTAGTCAAAGGTATGGACTGTACAATATGATTGAGGGTGTTAATGAACTGTGAGTAAATATTTGGGGCTGATACATTTAGTAAATGAGGAAGACACATGATTAACATATGTGAATAATGAATGGGAGGCATTTTATGGCTACTTTGTTCCAGAAGCCATGGTTTTGTTAATTGTGATCTATCTTCCTCTTTAATCTAAGATGCTTTGAAACGAAATATTCTTTGAATTTACATTGAACACGATATAGCCTTAATTGTTTAATATTGCAAATATTCTGCATTACGTATATGGAGTCATTACAGGAAACCGTTTCATGGAAATCAGTGGGAAGTTTGCATAACTATGACTTAAAATGCCATTAAAATGATACATTACATTCTGCTTTCCTTAATACACAAGTATATAAAAATTGCCAAAGCGAGCAATTTTAATACACAACCTTTTCCGACCGTGACATAATCGAGGGAATAGTAGTGGGTAAAGCCTTTCATCTATAGTGGATTACAACTCCCATCATCTTGCGACAGCAAGTTGCAATCTACAGTGGCTGTAGGCTAGATCTTGCCTATCCCGAAGTAAGTGTCAAAGAGGACAATGCAATTCGATTACGCATTGTGCCACGTATTTATTTGTAACCAAATCGAAGTGAGTGACATTTTGCGGCCCCTTGCATAACCAAGGGAAACATGCAATGTTAGAATCACAGCAAAAAGTTAACAGTAACTACAAACCAGCATTTTAGTGTTTTAATGTACATATCTACGTTGTTTGAAATTCTATGTGAATAAATAAAAACACTGATGTTTCATTACATTGCTTTGGCTGGTGACTTTGTAGAATAAAACGTTTCTCACCCAATTACCTGAAGGCTATATGAGGATGTTACAGTTCACCAATAGCTAGCACTGCGACATGTTTCTCAAATCTGTGATAGAGATCATCATGGGGTTCGACAGTATAATAAAATCTAAAAAGTATAATCATACGAAACCAACTAAAAGTGTGAGCCAGGAGTTAGTCCATCTTCTTAGCTTTATGGTAGTTTATCTTCTTAGACCATGTTAACTGCTTAGCCACGCCATTTAGTTGAAACTTTTTAAGCTCCTCACAAATAGCTTGGAGTGGTAGGAGTATGCAGGGGTCGGGTCTGATTTATGTTTGTGTTCCACTTACCTTAAGGCTAGTTGATTATTTTCCCGTTGGGCGCCACTTTGATTAGATGACCCTGGATAATTGCTTTATGTGTCTCCCGTATGGTGGCTATAGAGGCTATAGGGTTGCTGTTATCTACAAGGTACTGCTGTATGACTTGGTCAACTCCTCAACAATCTGCTTATCCCAGAATAAGGCCGAGTTAAGCCACCATGTCCATGGGGTGGAGGCAGGAAATGCTCACCTAGATGTTGGCATTAGTGATGTCGCGAACACGAAATTTTCGGTTCGCGAACGGTGAACGCGAACTTCCGCAAATGTTCGCGAACCAGTCGAACCACCATAGACTTCAATGGGCAGGCGAATTTTAAAACACACAGGGACTCTTTCTGGCCACAATAGGGATGGAAAAGTTGTTTCAAGGGGACTAACACCTGGACTGTGGCATGCCGGAGGGGGATCCATGGCAAAACTCCCATGGAAAATTACACAGTTGATACAGAGTCTGGTTTTAATCCATAAAGGGCAGAAATCACCTAACATTCCTAAATCACAATCAATATGGATTGACACCTGACATATGACATATTGACACCTTGACATATGGATTGACACCTGTCCTCAGAGCCCCTGATGCACACGGACACAGAGCAGAATAGAGACTGGTCCCCCTACATAGGGTCACTTGGCAGATATGGATTGACACCTGTCCTAAGGATCCCTGATACACACTGACACAGAGCAGAATAGGGACTGTTCCCCCTACATAGGGTCACTTAGCAGATATGGATTGACACCTGTCCTAGGGATCCCTGATACACACTGACACAGAGCAGAATAGAGACTGTTCCTCCTACATAGGGTCACTTGGCAGATATGGATTGACACCTGTCCTAGGGATCCCTGATACACACTGACACAGAGCAGAATAGGGGCTGTTCCTCCTACATAGGGTCACTTGGCAGATATGGATTGACACCTGTCCTAAGGATCCCTGATACACACTGACACAGAGCAGAATAGGGGCTGTTCCCCCTACATAGGGTCACTTGGCAGATATGGATTGACACCTGTCCTCAGAGCCCCTGATACACACTGATACAGAGCAGTATAGAGACTGTTCCTCCTACATAGGGTCACTTGGCAGATATGGATTGACACCTGTTCTCAGAGACCATGATACACACTGACACAGAGCAGAATAGAGACTGTTTCCCCTACATAGGGTCACTTGGCAGATGGATTGACACCTGTCCTCAGAGCCCCTGATACACACTGACACAGAGCGGAATAGAGACTGTTCCTCCTACATAGGGTCACTTGGCAGATATGGATTGACACCTGTCCTCAGAGACCATGATACACACTGACACAGAGCAGAATAGAGACTGTTCCTCCTACATAGGGTCACTTGGCAGATATGGATTGACACCTGTCCTCAGAGACCCTGATACACACTGACATAGAGCAGAATAGAGACTGTTCCTCCTACATAGGGTCACTTGGCAGATATGGATTGACACCTGTCCTCAGAGACCATGGCACACACTGACACAGAGCAGAATAGAGACTGTTCCACCTACATAGGCTCACTTGGCAGATATGGATTGACACCTGTCCTCAGAGACCATGATACACACTGACACAGAGCAGAATAGAGACTGTTCCCCCTACATAGGGTCACTTGGCAGATATGGATTGACACCTGTCCTAAGGATCCCTGATACACACTGACACAGGGCAGAATAGGGACTGTTCCCCCTACATCGGGTCACTTGGCAGATATGGATTGACACCTGTCCTAAGGTTCCCTGATACACACTGACACAGAGCAGAATAGGGACTGTTCCTCCTACATAGGGTCACTTTGCAGATATGGATTGACACCTGTCCTCAGAGCCCCTGATACACACTGACACAGAGCAGAATAGGGAATGTTACCCCAACATAGGGTCACTTAGCAGATATGGATTGACACCTGTCCTCAGAGCCCCTGATACACACTGACACAGAGCAGAATAGGGAATGTTACCCCAACATAGGGTCACTTGGCAGATTTGGATTGACACCTGTCCTAAGGATCCCTGATACACACTGACACAGAGCAGAATAGGGAATGTTACCCCAACATAGGGTCACTTGGCAGATATGGATTGACGCCTGTCCTAAGGATCCCTGATACACACTGACACAGAGCAGAATAGGGACTGTTCCTCCTACATAGGGTCACTTGGCAGATATGGATTGACACCTGTCCTAAGGATCCCTGATACACACTGACACAGAGCAGAATGGGGACTGTTCCTCCTACATCGGGTCACTTGGCAGATATGGATTGACACCTGTCCTAAGGTTCCTTGATACACACTGACACAGAGCAGAATAGGGACTGTTCCTCCTACATAGGGTCACTTGGCAGATATGGATTGACACCTGTCCTAAGGTTCCCTGATACACACTGACACAGAGTAGAATAGGGACTGTTCCTCCTACATAGGGTCACTTGGCAGATATGGATTGACACCTGTCCTCAGAGCCCCTGATAAACACTGACACAGAGCAGAATAGTGACTGTTACCCCTACATAAGGTCACTTGGCAGATATGGCGTGGTCGTGGGAGGAGGAGGATGACTTTCACCTCTTCCCCTATTAGATTCCCGTTGTGCTGTGACATCACCCTTATACGCTGTGTAAAGCATACTTTTTAATTTATTTTGCAAATGCTGCATCCTTTCTGACTTGTAATTCGGTAACATTTCCGCCACGGTCTGCTTATACCGGGGGTCTAGTAGCGTGGACACCCAGCACAGGTCGTTCTCCTTCAGCCTTTTTATACAACAGGCACGACAGCATGAAAGACCCCATTTGCACAAGGTTGGATGCCGAGCTACTCATTTCCCATTCCTCCTCCTCACACAGAGCAGAATAGGGACTGTTCCCCCTACACTTGGCAGATATGGATTGACACCTGTCCTCAGAGACCATGATACACACTGACACAGAGCAGAATAGAGACTGTTCCCCCTACATCGGGTCACTTGGCAGATATGGATTGACACCTGTCCTAGGGATCCCTATTACACACTGACACAGAGCAGAATAGGGACTGTTCCTCCTACATAGGGTCACTTGGCAGATATGGATTGACACCTGTCCTCAGAGCCCCTAATACACACTGACACAGAGAAGAATAGGGACTGTTACCCCTACATAGGGTCACTTGGCAGATATGGCGTGGTTGTGGGAGGAGGAGGATGACTTTCACCTCTTCCCCTGTTAGATTCCCGTTGTGCTGTGACATCACCCTTATACGCTGTGTAAAGCATACTTTTTCATTTATTTTGCAAATGCTGCATCCTTTCCGACTTGTAATTCGGTCACATTTCCGCCATTGTCTGCTTATACCGGGGGTCTAGTAGCGTGGACACCCAGCACAGGTCGTTCTCCTTCAGCCTTTTTATACGAGGGTCCCTCAACAGGCACAAAAGAAAGACCCCATTTGCACAAGGTTGGATGCCGAGCTACTCATTTCCCATTCCTCCTCCTCCTCACACAGAGCAGAATAGGGACTGTTCCCCCTACACTTGGCAGATATGGATTGACACCTGTCCTAAGGGTCCCTGATACACACTGACACAGAGCAGAGCAAAATAGGGACTGTTCCTCCTACATAGGGTCACTTGGCAGATATGGATTGACACCTGTCCTCAGAGACCATGATACACACTGACACAGAGCAGAATAGGGACTGTTCCTCCTACATAGGGTCACTTGGCACATATGGATTGACACCTGTCCTAGGGATCCTGATACACACTGACACAGATCAGAATAGGGACTGTTCCTCCTACATAGGGTCACTAAGATATGGATTGACACTCTGTCTCAGAGACTATGATACACACTGACACAGAGCAGAATAGGGGCTGTTCCTCCTACATAGGGTCACTTGGCAGATATGGATTGACACCTGTCCTAAGGATCCCTGATACACACTGACACAGAGCAGAATAGGGACTGTTCTCCTACATAGGGTCACTTGGCAGATATGGATTGACACCTGTCCTCAGAGACCATGATACACACTGACACAGAGCAGAATAGAGACTGTTCCCCCTACATCGGGTCACTTGGCAGATATGGATTGACACCTGTCCTAGGGATCCCTGATACACACTGACACAGAGCAGAATGGGTACTGTTCCCCCTACACTTGGCAGATATGGATTGACACCTGTCCTAAGGGTCCCTGATACACACTGACACAGAGCAGAATAGAGACTGTTCCTCCTACATAGGGTCATTTGGCAGATATGGATTGACACCTGTCCTCAGAGACCATGATACACACTGACACAGAGCAGAATAGAGACTGTTCCTCCTACATAGGGTCACTTGGCAGATATGGATTGACACCTGTCCTCAGAGACCATGATACACACTGACAGAGCAGAATAGGGACTGTTCCCCCTACATCGGGTCACTTGGCAGATATGGATTGACACCTGTCCTAGGGATCCCTATTACACACTGACACAGAGCAGAATAGGGACTGTTCCTCCTACATAGGGTCACTTGGCAGATATGGATTGACACCTGTCCTCAGAGCCCCTGATACACACTGACACAGAGCAGAATAGAGACTGTTCCCCCTACATCG